ACCGAGCTGGAGAAGTACGGATGGCTGATGGTCGCCCACCCTCCCTACAGCCCTGACCTCGCTCCTTCTGACTACTGGCTGTTCAGCCACCTGCAGCGCTCTCTGGACGGAAAAAAGTTCGAAACAAAGGATTCAGAAAGGCACTCGACGACTTCTTCAAGTCCCAGCCCCCGTCGTTCTGGAAGGATGGAATCGACAAGCTGCCTGAGCGCTGGCGTCGAGTAGTGGATGGTGATGGTGCATACCTCTAATCTTCAGGCTGGTTCGCTTTTGAGATATTTAAAAAATTCGGGGTTAAAAACATATGCATCAACCTAATAGAAGTTGCACCTTCCCCATACCTCTGCGTGAAAGCGCTATGCATGGCGCATTGCAGAGGTGATGCCAATTGGCGCCCAATGAACTATTTCCTGATATCCTTGGCGAAAACATGCGTTTTAGAAGCATACCAAAGTCTTTAAGCCAACTGGAGGTTTTATGGCGTCGGAGGGGCTGATTTTTCGTGTCGTGGGAACTTTTTCGAATAGCAGGCCTAGGGATAAAATAAAAGTTTTGCTGGAAGTAGAAAGCTTCGAAATTCTGGCACTGTTTTTCTTTTTACGAAAGGCCTGTATGAAACTTGCCATGGCTGTTCATGCGTAAAGACTTGTAGATAACCGCCGGCCCCCCCCCCCCCTCCTCCCCCCATGATCACGACAGGCATCAAACGGAGAAAATTACTTCACAAAGAATTGTTCGAAAATCGTTAAACCTCACGTAACGCAGTGCCAGGGCCTAGCCGCCCCAATTCCTGCTTCCCCCTCCTCTAAAAGCTGTAACTCTCAAGTTATCGACGTTTCAAGTGAGGGGTACTTTTCGAGATGTTTGCCTTGAAACTGGCTCCGGTCTGTGAAATAGTTTCGCCCAATACATTGTTGAAGCGGCGTTCGAGAGACCCGCGAAAACAAGTTAATATTCAAAAGTCTATTTTCCTACCTCTGGCTTCTAGCTCTCCTGGTGAGTTAGTTTTTTTTTCATAGTCGTTTGTTTCTTAAGTGTTTATTTTTCTTTTTTCTTAAGTCTTTTTTTTAGAATTCTAGATTTCGGCACTCTTCAACTATTTTCTACCCCGCGTCTGCAAAATCAGGCCGCTTTTTTACCGACTTTTTTTCTAGAAGGGCAGATTCGGCTGAAAATTTGCTTACAGTGGTACTTCGACCTCCGGAGCACGAATATCACACCCGGAACTTTCAATAGATTTTGGTGATTCAGGCGCTTTCTCCGTTGATAGGTGCGCGGGAACGAGGCCGGAGGGTGGTGATGCGCTTGCGCTGCAGCACGGCAAGCCACTCAATTAAGCATAGCGAAACACGCTGCTTGTAGCGCGGGCGGAGGGACAGCGCTACCCTTCCGTGCACTTTTTGGGTGGGGAAGGTGGCACGCTACTGCAGGTGAGGAAACTCTCCCTGGAGTGAGCAGCTGGTGTCCAAGAAAATTTTCGGTCACCTTAGAGTTCCACAGTTCTGCCTGCATTCTGCCATGTGGCACAGACATTGTACAGTGACACAGTACATCTCATCAAGGGTTCACACCACTCAGTGGGGACACGTCAGAAATGAAGCTGTTAGAACCCTTGAAATTAGGAAATCAGAGCCAGTCACCCAAATTAACAGCAGGGACGGGCCACGTGAAGCTCTAATGATGATTCACTGACTGCGCGACTATGCCACGTAGTTTGTGATATCAGATGCACTCACCGTCACTGTGCGCCCACTACTATCAAAGAAGGGTTGGGTCTAACTCTTTTTGAATGAACCGTACCGTATTGACCGTATGCTAATATTCCAAAATATAGAAGGCAACATAGCATTGAGACCTTTGCGTTCTTATGCAATACACATTTTGGGAGCCTACTGGTATTAATGGAAACAATCACAGTGTTGGATTAAACGTTTTGTAGACAAAGCTGAACCTACGTATTGAAAAAGTCCATGAGAGCAAAATAATTCTGTGAGGCTGTTTGGGAATCTTCTGCTTGGTAGAAACTGTCGTGCACGCTGTCGTAGGAGTATCCCACTCCAATTGGCGATTCCAAATAGAGGACGTTTGCCTTCTGTAATAAGAGTTGGCTGAAAAATTGATTAGACTTCATTGAGCGTTAAAAACATCCCCAATTGCAGCAGACGAAGTAATAATTCCCGGGTGTAAAAAATATTCCCTGCACGGGATCATGGTAGGATGATGGATAAAAGGATATGAATCCAATACGAATTCACCGTCCCTGGATGGAGAAGGTTTGCTCGGCTTGGAGGGGAGCCGGTGCGTGATTTAACTCGCACCGAACGCGTACTCGTGCCACTTGTCAACTACACTGCCTTTGCATCTATGAGAACATATTCCATTTAAAATAGAACAAGCTTTTCAAACGTTTCTGTTAAAGGCAGTTGGCACGATAAGTCCCTGAGTAGGATTAACACGCCTACTAGGACGGAATTCCGCAACTGAGCAGGCGTTGCGTAGCGCCTTTTCCAAGGAAGGTACCCTCATAAGGCCCTATCAAGCTGCAACATACCGACCCGAACGCCCACCGCGCCCGCCCGCCCACAAATGGACGACCGTACCTGATGCTCGTATTGCTTCATTTGCGAAGTAAAATATGAAGCGAAGGGATTGATATGAAGCGGCGCGGGCTGCGTGGATATATGAGTGTTTAGGTGCAGCCGTACCTACCGTAGCGGTTATTGGCAAGATGCCTACGAGAAACTCGTCCGAAATTGCTTTTGAGTCATTAAGAACGAAGGCTTTTCTTCGCAGTTTTTGACCGTTTCACTTCGTTTTTCGCCATTTTCCCCACTATATGGGCTCTGCTAGCATTTTAGGCCAAGTACCAAATCATAGCGCCAACTGCCTTCAAAGGTTGTTTCTCGTCTACAAGAAAATGACCGTTCTACTGGAATAGCGACAGTGCCTGTTATGCTTTTATCCTTGTTCATCCCCGATGCACAATAGCGCCTCGAACAAAACCATTTCCCACACAATCACGTGCATCCACTGTTTGGAATTTAAGCGGGGGAACCATTGACGTATTCTGTTCTGCTTCTCAACGCATCCAGCTGGTCAGGCCATATGCACCATGTGAATTTTGCCGTCAGAAGTTAGTTGTTCAAAAAGAAGATCAAGCATATGCCTACCGCATTCCAGGAGTACTTATTCTCGTATAAAGTCTGCCCATCAAAATTGACATAGAAGGGACCAAGCTCTTCAAAGAGGCCTGCATAAGAAGAACATCCTGGTCCTCCGTTGAACCATACGAGCAAAGGATCATTGTCTGGATCATGTTTGGACTCTGTCAGCCTGAATAAGAACTATTTGCTTAGAACAATAGATAAGAAGCCGATAAATCGCTTTGGGGAAGTCAGTATTCTGAAGTACCCACACTGTGTACGCTTGAAATCAGATGTGGTTTTGAGAGCGTGCTGAAGCAGTTGAGTTGATAACTTCGCATTCAGTCTGGGCGTGTAAGCAGTTGCTTGTCGGGAGCCCGACTGCTTTGCTCTACCAATGGTTACTGGTCGATTCATGAAGAAAACAACCGGTGGTGAAAACAGTGGACTCACTCTATCTCTCTTGAAGCCGTCCCTTTCCTCCGCCAAATGTAAGGGGCGTGGCGCAGCCCAAAATAAAGCTGATCAATGGTTTACCCTCCACTCCTTTATTGAATCAGGCTGTGCAGGGCTATCGGCAAAAGTGGGTCTATCACCTACATTTTCCGGTGATAATGTCTCCTCGTAACTATTAGGGCCTTTCACTTTCTTAAGAAATAGTTCTCAGAGAACTCTCCATGTGCTGACCATAAGAGCGCATTCAGATGCAATCCTTGCTCTCTACCCCTTACTGATCCAAAATATCATCGAAAATGACTCTCGTTTGTCAGCATTCAGCATGTCTTCCCCTATCGTCATGCAACTTGATAAGGGTGGTTTACGGTGCCATAAAACTGTACGTAAGTGACAGCTGAGTGGCAGCAAAATTACTCGAAAAATCAATAAACATTTCCTGGGTCATAGGGTGGTCACAAGATTTCCGTGGAAAGAACTTATAAAAAAATGTAGTTCATTTACATATAGTGCATGTGCCATGTGTTGTCAGCGTTCGCTTTCAAATATCCAGAATAGGTCTTGAAATTTGTTTCAAATTGAAGTCCTGGCAGATTTGTGACGAGATCTTTCTCTTGTTGAGCTTCAGCGAAAAGCAGAAGCAGCGATGACAGGATCCAGAAAATCATGATCCCTGAAGGCGTTATTGTCACTAAAGAGCTCAAACTGAGCGCAGGAAAACGAAGGAGCAGGACACGACGTACATGCATGAATGAGCAGAGAGGCTCATGGTGAAAGAGTGGATATTTAGAAAAAGCGTCAACAACCTACAATGGGCATATGTACCAGCGATTATCTGATGGGGTTTGAGAACATGGTTTTAATACATCGTATGAGAAGAAGTGCTTTGATCAAGCAGTCACGCTAAACCCTGAGCAACCACTCTAGTTCACATAGTGTTCTACGTCAGAGACTGGCTGAGTAAACCCTCCGACAGAAGTTTCAATTACTTTTCGGAAAAATTCTATCAAGTTTTTCGATCAGCTATCCATCTGCAACTCTGAAAAATCAACCTTTGTTGAAGACAGTTCCCGCCATCAAGTGTTAGCGTAGTATGGTGCCTCAATCATGAACCAGTTCGCCTTTAAGTAAATCCTCAGTAGAGAAAAAGGGTGCGAAGAGAAAAGAAACCTGGAAACACTCTGAACAGGGCTCCCTTCGTAGTGGGGCCGGCTGCCCTGGACGAGGTTTTTGTCGGACGTCGCAATCCCGATCAGCAGGATTCGACACTGGCAACCAGAATCCCGCAGAATAGCCCCTGAGAATCGCTCTACGGACGCTCCAGGCATCGCTATGTAGACACACAATGCCACTTGTGAGCCAGTCTTGCAGGGTAAAAATAATCGTGGTTGCAAATGGTTGCAATAATCACACGTCTCTAGCTTCTTTATCTCACTGTTTCGAGTAACGAAAGTGGTATATTCTCTGCGAATGCGGGCAACGATGCCAAATGCCACGGAAGACATGGCGCAGCACTTGATTTAGCGGAACGGTTTAACCGTTCGTAGGTCAGTACTGGCTGTGCAACCCTCCTACAGAGGTTGCAACCACATTTCGGAAAATTCTATAGTTTTTTTATCAGCTATTCATCTGCAACTCTGAGCAACAAACCTTGGTTGAATAGTGTTTAGTCCAGACTGAGTAACCCTGTGACAGAGGTTCTAATTTCTTCTTCGGAAAACTCGATCAAAGTCCCATGTCACTCTAGCATCAGCGCTGGATTCGCAAATCGGACGTCATACAAGGGAAGCGCACTGTTCACACAAATCCTGAGTAGAACAAGTAGTTGCATAAAATGCTGTTTTGAAAAAGTTGTATGAAAGACTTGGTAAAGTTGTGGCCGAGGAGTGCTCCATAATCTTCATCGTAGACAAGAAAAGCAGTTGCGGGCCCAAGTTAGTAAGTTTCATCACGGCAGTGGTGGCATCTGTATGTTTAAGGCTGCTTTATCCAGAGAACATCCCCCTCCACTGTCGGTGTCCACTGCCTGTCTCTCTCAAAGGCTATTCCGACGAAATGATTGGTACCACATACAACTACAAGAAGGCTATAACTTCCATCACAATGCCGGGCCACCCGGATGGACATATTATCAGACAGCGCTCCAACAAATACAATACCGAGACCTGGATTTACACGCCTCATTCGTTCCTAAACAAAACCTAATTCCATTTTGCCCTTCATTGGGCTGCCCCCTAAATGCGAACAATCTAAAGTTTTTAGGACATGCGGGAGAACCACCTCCAACTTCAAATAGGTCTTGCCGTTCGGTGTGTTTCTTTCCCTTTTGGTCAGTCAACTCTTCTTTTCCACTCGGGGCTCTAGAGCCGAGTTGTGAGTTTTTCAGTGACCCGCTTAAGTTCAGCCGCTGTGCGCGGAGCTTAGCACGGCTTACGTGTGCACTCTACATTTTATCCCATGCTCTACCCATCCCGATCTGGTCCGAACTCTCCAATTTCTTTTTCAGGAAGACCCGAATTTCCTTTTCAAGAAGAACCGATAGAGAAACAAATCGATTGATGTGACCAGCTCGAGTTCCGGCACTGAACAAGAAAGAGACGGAGAGACGCTCATGGGGGTAGCCGAAATATGAAAGCTGCTGGCGAGGTAGCACACAGACTCAAATAACTAAGAGAGCTGGGCATCCATGCTATGTGGATGGAGCCATCAGAAAGAAACCGAAGAGCTCAAACTTAGTTACAAGTCCGGCGCGCTCTTGCCAGGTAGTATCTAGCTAACGAATGTGGTACACTAGTTCTCTCCTTGCTACTGAAAAATGTCGCACCCCCCCCCCTACCTTAATCGCACTCTACCAGGTAATTGCCGAAAACATCCTCAATATATCACATTGCTGTAGTTCTAGACGAGTAACAGGAAATTCAGAAGGGTGCCAAAGTCATGTGAGGCAAAGGAGCACGACAGAAATCTCGCCAACATTAATCTCCTTTTCTAACATTTGAAACAGCCTTGAGGAAAAAAGCTGGCAATAAAGCTTGGTAGATTAGAGTATATAAGCAAACATTACGCGAAACGAACCCGGCGACGATGTGGGGATTAATCCTAGTGAAAGGAGGAGCAAGAAGAGTAAACATAGGTAATGTTGAATGAGGTATACTAAGACCAGTGATGAATGGTGCATTACTGTTGGAAGGGTGACTAATCTAAGAACAATGGCTAGTCATAAAAGAGTGTTACGAAGGCACAGAAGTAAGTGAAGTACCAAAGAGGGCGAGAATCCTTTCAAAGTGTAAGCAGAAACTACTACTTTCACTGTACCTGTAAATTTATTTTCATCTTCGCCGAGTAGGGACAGTTCTTCTATGTCACAGAGTTTCCACGGAGTTCCTGCAGTGCTCTTTCGTAGCATAAATGGGGAGTGTGAGAGGTTTGAGTCGAAGCAGTTCAACAACGAGTAAGAGGTGGGGCCTTACGCAATTTTGTTGCTTCTCGTTGCCGTAAGGGCTCCATCGTTGTGATGATCACAACGGGGGAGGGCCGTATGATAACAACGGGGGGAGGGCCGTATTTGGTCGATGTCTTGTTGGTTGGGAGACTGCCATAGATCTATGCAACTACTATTTCCGACAGTTGAAAATGATGAAAATGATAGTTAATCCTGACGACCTCCTCCCCCCCCCTCCCCCGCTCGACAGCAAAATTTTGGGGAAAAACCAGAAATTTTTCGGGAAATTTCGGAAAAACTGGTAGGAGGTTAGGGAAAATCTGAGAAATTTTCCTGTTTCACATTGAGTATATACCCCTCTCCCACCCGCTCGACGGAAAATCCTTGGCTGAAAAACTGGAAATTTTTCGGGAAAAAATGGAAAGTGGTAGGAAGTTGGGAAAATCTAGGAAAGCGGTAGGCAGCTTGGGGGGGGGATCGTATTCAAGGATGGAAGTAGGGGTCGTATTTTCCAAGAAGTGATCACAACGCGATGGCCCCATCAAGTAGGCACTTGTGAAATGTGACGAAGCCGTGAAGTGACACTACTGAAACTAGTGGTCAACTCTTGCAGTAATGCCTTTCGAGTTTTGTAAAGCAGCGGACAGAACAATGAGAACAGGGCACTTTCTGCCGCTAGAGAAGCTTTCGAGAAAGATGACCCCCCCCCCAAGTTCACCCTCCAGTTTCGTACTCCGTTGCCTCTGCTACAACCCTCCCCCTCCTACCCATTATCTCGCCTCTCTTGCTGCCAAATTTTCAAGCTTGCTACCGTTGGCACCGCTTTTACCAAAACGCTCTGAAAGTTTTCCAGTGTTTCCCAAAAATTTTGCCGTCGGGCGGGAAGGGGAGATGGCAGGAGGAAGTGGGTACATAGCACTAGTGGAACCGGAAAAGTTCTTTCCGCATTCCGCAGACGGCAAATTTCGAAGGCACAAACCACCACTCTCTCAACGACGATTAAGGGAAATAAGCATTCTCTAAAGATTGTCAACAGCGTCCCTGAAACAGAAAGAGTCGACTGTCAAGAAAAATTCCTTACACCAACTACGACCCCCCCCCCTCCAGCGACTAGGACCTTCCGCTGGGGATTGCAAAACGTGGGACGTGTCCTGAATAGGAGCAGCGACAAAACAAAATGCCCCGGTCCTGAAAATACATAGCCGAACCATGCCGTATAGGTAAAATGTGACCTTTGAGTGGGGATGCAACGGCACATTCCGAAATTGTGAACCGTAGCGGTAATCGTAAAGGTGACGTGGTTGAGGAACAAATGTGCAGTGCTAGTCGACTTAGCTCTTGAGAAAAACTTGAGGAAGACAACAAAAACAGTCTACGCGCTGCGGAAGATATTTTGAGAATTGTAATTTGATTGTGACTCGACAAGTGGGGCTACAGACTATACAAACAATCGAGACTCCAATGCACGTGGCCTCCTAGGTTCCATGGGACTTCGGAGCTCAGCAAGAGTTCACTCCGAACAATTTAGCTGGCGTCGTCCACAATGACGATAGCGGATGTTTGGGTTGTAGGAGGAATCTTTTAGTAACAAATAAGACACTGTAGCAGTAGTAGTTGCTCTACTCATGCCATGGTGAACTAAGCCTCTGGCGAAAACGACCCATGTGGTTGGGGCCCATCATTGGTTGGGGATTTTGGTGGAGTCCGTAGAACCCATCCTCCCAGAAAGCAGCTTGACCTGCCCCCCCCCCCCCCCCCTCTAGCTCCCTCGTCGTGCAATATTAGGTCGTTGCAAAAGAAATGCAGGATTTTGCTTGCTTGTATTTCATACTTATTTTATTCCAATAATATGTTACTTTAATATGAAGTGTTATATACTATTCGGAAGCTCATCTCATGCTCTTTCTAAATGATACTCCAAGATTGGTTGTAATTCATTTTATTATAATTTTTATTGACATTATTTTATTCCAATAATATGTTACTTTAATATGAAGTGTTATATACTATTCGGAAGCTCATCTCATGCTCTTTCTAAATGATACTCCAAGATTGGTTGTAATTCATTTTATTATAATTTTTATTGACATTTTATTGCAGATGTCGAAACGTGAATTTCGCACTATTTTCTTCTATGAGTTCAAGCTAGGACGAAACGCTGCCGATACAGCTCGGAACATCAACGAAGTTTGGGGTCAAGGAAGTGTCAACGAATCTACGGTCCAA